ATTTTGTATTTGAAGTATGCTCTATTTGATTGTCTAGAGCCTTGACTCTATATAAACCTTTTCCTATTGTTATTAGGGTGTGGTTTATATAGAGCTTAGGCTCTAAACAATAAAATTAGAGCCTACCTTCAAATAGTCTCGAGAAATGTGGTTTCAATAGTTGAAATTTTTTTAATAGCCTTAAAATATATTTTCATCTTTATTTGTAAAGTTTAAAAGCTTCAAAATTAATGTAGATCGAGAGATCTATGAACACTTGAAAATCTTGAAATTTGACGATAAAAAAATGAGCTACAAAACACACTATTTCCTAAACTTGAAATCCATTTTTTTCTAATGTCCATGCATCTTGATTTCGAGATGATCAACTTGAGGATATTTGAGCATCAAAACATCTTCTAGTGACAATTTTGAGGTAGAGGTAGGCTCTAATTTGATTGTTTAGAGCCTCGGCTCTATATTAACTTTTCACTTATTATTATTATTACCAATTTACTTGTATAATAATAATAAAAAAAAAAGTATACAATGAGACCATTTACCTTTGGTACATGATGGTTACAATTAATTTTAACCATTGGATGTGGAAATTGGGTGGCCACATTTATTAAATTGACCAAGTTCAAAGTTAAAAAAGAATTTTCTTGAACTTTGTAATACATTCAAAGTATCAAATTACAAATGTGATGGTTATAAGAAGTTGTGATCTCCTTGTATCAAAAGTAAATGGTCTCATTTTATACAATAGCATAAAAGAAAATTCAATATTTTTAAACCTGAATTTGTAGGGAAGATTGTTCATCTATAGATTTGTGTCAGATTGCTAGATCGACGATCCACACCAAGTCTAGATTGTTTTGAGTCATAATCCAAAAAATATTTAAAATAAATAAAATTTCAAATAAAGATTTATGGAGGGGATTTAAAGTGACTTAAGAAACTTCTAAAAAAATATTCCAAATAGGGATTATAGGGAAATAATCATAATGAGATCCATATCATCCCAAAACTAGTTCTTATCCAAATCTACGATCCCGACAGGAACTAAACCAACGTTAAAATGGTTTAAAACGTATTACGGGTTAATCGGATTACGGGGCATTATTGCGACAGAGGACTGTTGGCAAGCTTTTGCTGTAAGCTTTCTCACTCGGCATATAAATAACAGTCTTCCACTCTACCGACTCGCGCCATTTCTTTTACCTACTTTTCAAAACCACCGAATTTTATTCACATAAAAGAAGAAAACCCTACTCTCTCCATTCCCCTTTATTCAAAACCGTAATTTGACCCTTTTCCCTCTCTCAAAAACCCTAATTCTCTCTCCCCACTTGCCTGGAATCAACCGAAGCCTTCCATTAAAGCTCCTCTCAAACAAACCCGAGTTTTAATTCCCGCTCTTAAGCAAAACCATAGCATTTGCGTTTGTTTCAGGAACCCTAGTTTCCCCATTTTCTACTCTCTTCAGAACTGCATCACCATTTTAATGGCATGGTGAATCCCTATTTCTTAGCTGAATTCATCCGAATTCTGCCATTCAAGCTCCTTTTAAACAAACCCTAACCCACCAATTTCCCAGTGCACTCTGCATGGAAACCCCGAAATGTACCGGATTGCACCATTAAAGCTATACTCAGCCATGACCTAATTCCCACCTCAGTGGAGCAAAGACCTTATTTCATGCCCTCCTGTAACTTCCAATTATGCCTTCTCTCCCTTCCTCTGGTAAAATCCTGCAACTGGAGCTCGAGAACTTCAAATCCTACAAAGGAAACCAGACTATTGGTCCCTTTCGAGACTTCACAGCCATTATTGGACCAAATGGAGCAGGAAAATCGAATCTCATGGATGCTATAAGCTTTGTTCTAGGGATTCGATCTGCTCAATTAAGAGGAGCTCATTTGAGGGACTTAATTTATGCCAGCGATGATAGAGATAAGGAACAGAAAGGGAGAAGAGCCTCGGTGAAACTCGTTTACGAGACAGCTGGGGGTGAGCATGTCAAATTTTCGAGAACAATTACTGGGGCTGGAAGTAGTGATTATCGAATCGATGATAGAATTGTGAATTGGGATGAGTATAGTGGTCGGCTGAAGTCCTTTGGAATTCTTGTGAAGGCTCGGAATTTCTTGGTTTTTCAGGTAATTTGTAAGATTTTGAGATTTCTTGGATTCCTAGTATTTTTATCATATGGTTTTCACATTTCTTAAGTTTTCTGGCAATTCATAAGAATATGGATTTGGTGGGTTTTTCTGGCCATTCATGAGAGTTTAGTTTCTCACAAACTCTTGTCTTTTCACTACTTTTCTTCTCGATTTGGTAGCTAGCACTAATTTAGAATTTCTGGCTATTTCCTTAGTTGAATTGCTTATTGATTGTCACCATTAATAAGCAGTAATATAACAGCTATTAATGCTTAGCTCAGTGTTTCTGAAGCTTTATTGAAATTTGGGTCTGAGTTTTGTTTCAATATGATTTAGGAAATACAAGGGGAAAATACTTTAGGAAACTAATGTGTTACTCAAATAGGTTATGAGATGAAATCTTTAAATTGGAAGTTGCGTGTTTTTTTAATTTATATCCCTGTGCTTGGGCAGAATTAATGTGTTTTAGACTTTGATATGTTGATTCATTTTTTCAAGTGTGGTTTTTCTTGAGTTCTATTTGGTTGAAGTTTGTCTGAAAATCAGAAACTCTTAACATGGTTTTTTTTTTAAGGTAAATTTTAATGTAACAAGGGTGGAATGAAGCTTGGATTTTATTTTCTTATAATTTTAAAATTGTGATTTTCACAATTTTAGCCTGAACTTATACCAATGTTTGACCAAAATTCATTTGTATTCTAATACTATGTCATGCCCCATTTTTCAGTTTGTTTTTTTTGTAAGGCCCGTACTTTCACCAAGTATAGGTCTGTAATCTCTCTCTCTCTCTCTCTCTCTCTCTCTCTCTCTCTCTCTCTCTCTCTCTCTCTCTCTCTCTCTCTCTCTCTCTCTCTCTCTCTCTCTCTCTCTCTCTCTCTCTCTCTCGTCTCGTCGTACGTGTCGTACGTACGTAGTACGTAGTCGTAGTACGTACGTCGTACGTCGTACGTCGTACGTACGTACGTACGTACGTACG